CCCCCCAAGGACTTACAAAAGTAAATTTCAAAATTCTAATGACGGATTTGAATTTGGCAAGATTTATGTCCTACCTTTTTGTGCCTTTTACGTGAATAATTGCATACAAAAAGTTCTTAAAATGTACCCAAAAAAGTTGAAAATTGAGTCATTCTTAGTCGCGCCGCAATATAGCACTTAAATTGCCATATCTTTCCAGACCCAATAGTCCTAACATCCCTATGCTTTTCGAGTTTTTCAAACTTCCACAAAATAAATTCAAACCAGAGAACTGAAAAATTCAGCAGAATTATTCTACAAAACCTCAATAGGAAAAAAATTTTAAAAATGGTAGATGGATACGATCATTGCGTTGCAAAATTGTGTATTTTTGATGATTTGATTGATGAATGCAGAATTTATTAGAGGAGTAGCTGTACCGCAGATAGCCCTGCGGGCTACGGATTTACAGGCTCCGGTACCAGTTTCTAAAATAAATAAAACCGTGGCATGGAGAGGTCGAAGGAAAGAGATCAAATAACTCAAATGATTGCTTACCAATGTTATGGCCAACCGCGCTTTCCACAAATTTCCTTCCCTTGGTTGCTCAACGTAGAAGTCGCTTCACTGTAATCAGAACAAAATAAAATATTTAAATAAAAATTACATACAAGTGCAACTATTATTGTTAAGTCTGGCATTTAAAATAAAACATCATAGTCATGGTGGTGGCTGTGTATGTTTATTAATACGCTGAGGGGAACAAAAACAGATCTTACATTTTCATGAGGGTCAACACTTACATTGGAAGCTTACCCATAATTTACGTGACGCTATAGTTAAGCATTTTTGCCCCCCCCCTCTTCCCATTCTCCTTTGAAACGCTTGTATGACACACTTGCACAGGTCTATCCTTTAACACGTAAAAAAATGGCGTAACGCTCTCTTTGACCCCCCTCCCCTCTAGAGCGTTACATGATTTATGAACGGCCCCGCAGTTACCATATTTTGAACAAAGATCCTGGAAGTATTCATATAGCAGACAACAATAAATTGAAACTATCCCTTCCACGAAGTCCAAATACGAGTATCAGAGTTAATGAAGTTGCATATTTCCCCTCTCAATTCATTGTTTACTTAGATATCAACATTTTTTCTCGAAACACTGTGCCATTTTTCATATTTTTCTAAAAAATACTCCAGAAGCTCTTCTACGTACAAGTGGAGAAAAATATAAGAAGAGCAAAATACACGATGAGTAATTTCGACCCAATGCTACGTCATAATCGGCAATGCTGAATTAAAAGTGCATCCCATGGCTGTCTCAAGACAGTGACATGATGTATGATCACAACTTTAACGAGACAGAAATTGAGGTTTAATCCAGTTCCGAATTTCGACGAGATCCGAACGAAATATACGGAGTAAAGCCAGACTAACAACTTTCTGAGGGAAGTTGTCCCATATTTCGCTCATAGTCTTTACATATTCAATATAAGTTCTGGGAAAGGATGGTCCAGTCTTTTCCGACGGTGAAAACCTCAACATTATTTTCATTGGGACATAATAGTATTGTTCATAGAGTTGAGGATACTGCGATGCGTCAAGCATAACTTATCGTAAATTCGGGCTCATGAAATGAAGTCAGGTTTTCGGGGAAATATACGTCACACCTCGTTGTGATAGCCCTGATGATGTTCAAGCAGAGCCCTCTCTCCCGCTTGTTAAGGAACTACGACGCATTTTCGAATCCAGTTTCATCGTCAAGATGACGCTTAAAGTAACCAGCCGACACTGCGTTAACGGCCCGCCACGCAAGGTCGTTGCGGTGCAATCACACCACGTGTATCGCAAGGACACGTGTATTTTCATAAAACGACATTATCACGCTCATCTTTCATCTCGTGAGAGCTGAATAAAACTTGGAGAATGCGACTATTTTAACTCCTGAGAGGTGATTTTGCCTACGCGGAAATTCGAAGGCGATTATCTGCGAGTCAACACGCAATGCCGTCCAAGGCTTGTAAAAAGGACTGTCCAAAAATGAAATCCATTACGTGATGAGGAGATGCTATTTTTGGCTTATTCATGGACCAATGTGTCTGCATAGGGCTACTGGTTACGCATTCAGTTATTTCTGAAATATGACAAAAATATTCGATGCCTATCGCAAAATGTGCTCCAAATTACGTTACAATTTTTTTTACATTTTTTAGCACCAGGATTTTTCTCCCCCTGGGTGAAACACGCCAAGTTGTGTCAGAACCCCATCTAAAAACAACATCATTTTTTTTAGGGATATCTCCCCTCCCCCACATTACGCAAAAAGTAGGGACTCCTACCTACTACCTACGGTAGATTACAGGCTGCTGATGTTTTTAGGCTGCCTTCAGGTGTGGCTTAACCTTCCTCCTTTTCCCCTCACTCTATTGTCAGATATATGTCAATTTTCCCTCGACCTCCTTCCCCTCCTCAAGGACTCTTTGACGTCATTTATGGACTGTTCCAAACTGTAAACTTAGCTGATTTAAGATTTATTTATTTAAAGAGCCCAAAGTAATCCGTGCTCAGTTAGCCTGGAAATCCGTGTTTGACGGTTTTGTTTGTTCGTTCACATTTTTGTTGAGAGAATTCAGTGGGTAATCAGATTTGTTTGCATACTGTGTTTATTTTTTCATGGTCAAGATTTTTCCAACGTCGATGCGGGTTCCCTGCGCAGAGAGGCAAGAAGGGTAGTTTTCCAGGAAGGAAGGGACCGCTCTCGTGGTAATTATTACGCGCTGCGAACGCTAATTGATAGCCCGCCCCGCGCCGCTTCATCCTCCATTGCCAAATCGTCGTTTTTCAGATGAAAAAAACGTAACTTAGTTCCAAAGTTGCAAAATCTACACATTGATTTATTTACTTTTTTCACAAAAATAAAACGGCAATTTCCGTTCTAAATTTTGCTGGCATTTCCGTGAAATTGGAGAAAAAATCAATGAAATTTGTGGTTTGAAATGACCAACAGCTTCCTAGTAAAAATGTAACTTGAGGGTGGACTTTTGCAACGTTGGAATGAAGAAACTTTCTTCCTTATAGAGAATTACGAAATTTCCACGAATACTCAGATCTTTCTCTGCTCTTAATGCAGAGCTTCTTTTTTAGAGATAGGTTACGTACTTAATAAAAAATTGGTCTTATCAGCGTAGTGAGCAAAATTTTTGGTCAAATGAAACAGCTAATGATAGTATGCAATATGGAATATGACGATTGAAACTAACAAATTCTGTATCTCGATTTGAGACAGTGCAAGATGTACAATTACATTTAACTGTTCTGAGAGGTCGTCCTTATTGGTATCTCATAAAATTTCGTAAATTTACCCTTTCAAGAGAAATTCTCCCAAACATTTTCATGAAAGTATCCAATTATATTTTTATGAAAAAATAAAGTGGGTTGATTTCCGGACGTCAAGTTAAATTAATTATTTTCTGCGTAAAAGTTTGACGGAAAAGTATGTGGCCCACTCTTCATCACTCAAAAGTATATTTTTGTGTAACATTAAAAGTATAATTTTGACGATTGTAAAAAACCATGGCTAAAATTTAATCACAAAGCATCACAAGTTTACTCGTTAGGTTGATCTTGCTTGTGACCGTGTGTAATTTTTAAAAGCGCAGTGCCTGGATAATGTGAGCCCGTTCATACCTGACAAATTTGACCCAATTCTGCCGTGCTGAGGAGAATCCCCGTATGAACTTTTGAGAGTTGCCAAATTACCTTCGATTAAATTGTTTATTTTTGAGAAAAGCTATGCATATTTTTCCTTGAAATTTTCAGGAACTTCAGGTGAAATTGCGAACAAAATTATCTGACAAATTTAAAGAAAAATGTTTAAAAATTTCTCCAAAAATCTGTGATTTACTGAAAGACATTTGACAACGCCTAAAGGTTCATACGGCGTTTTTCCTTAGCATAGCAGCATTGTGGATCCTTTGTAATCGGAACGCAAGGAATTTGCGGTTGAGGCTTGGCGTCAGGGCGGATGGGTGAGGCCGTCGGTTGTTTCAAGATCAAAGGAGCCAAGTTGTGCGATAAAATGAAGATACTTTACATGGATTTAAATGGGGAAAATTGCTGATTTTCCAGCACCACATGAAAACCGTGTTCAAGATCATCCGACAAAGAAACCGAGCCGGGGCTTAACTTTTAATCACTGAAGTTCGCCACAGCCTTTTCCGCAGGTTAATTTATCATCTATAATCATCTTCAAATTACAGCCTTTCATTTCACCTTCCCTTCGTCAAAGCTTTGCGCGTCTTTTCGTATTCGAGATTTGCCTCCGTGTAACAGAGGTTCCATTTCATTGGCTGAAATAATTTATTTAAGTAAGCCTCAAAGCAGGCAGGCAAAAGAAGTTTCGGGGGTTTCGACGGGTGCAACTTTTGACCGTACTCTTTGGACCTCCCGGGTCCCTCAATTTTGTGGGGCTTGAACGAGGTCAGAGAAGATTAGCGGAAGCAACTTTGAGCATGCATGTTTAGGATATGGCACTGAGTTTATTTTTCTTCTACTGCTATATTTTTTTTTTTTATTTAGCTAACCAAAGTATTGGTCAGCCTCGTTGTAATGATGTCATTTTCCACTAATCATAAGTTGATGCCCCCCATCATTGCTTACTCGATCCACTCTAAAAATTCCTGCAGACCTCCTAAAGAAAATAAGCTCCGTTGCATGCACTGATCACATGCGCTCATTTTTTCGGCTACTAACTCTTATATCCTCATATTAAAACAAATAATATCCCCCAAAGCGTTATAAATTCTCCTCTTGTTTAAACCAAAATTGCTCCAAAACGACCCAAAATTAAACTTCGAAATTTAGAAATGTACCAGCGAGACACCCCTAACACAATTCGTCACCTCCTGGCCAAAGGATCACAAGCGCCATGTGACGTTTAAAAATTTCCGCCGTCATTTTATTTTTTTTACAACTAAATGGTTGAACGAAGCTGTCCGAAAATTTTCCTGAATTTTTTTTGTGCTGCCAATATAATTCAGTAACATTTTCAAATAGATTCAACCAACAATTCCTCTGGAAAAAAATAAAATGGCGACGAAGATTTTGACACGTCGCATGACACTTGTGATACTTTGAACAGAAGGTGACGAATTATAGGTATCAAAAAAAAAAAATCGGATTCAGAAAAAAAATACAAACGAAAAAAGGCGACAAAATCTCTTATTTCTTGAGAGTTAAAGTATAGTAATTTCCAATTTGTTCGTCTCTCGGTAATACAAGAGACAGCACCTTTCATTAGTCTAGTTGAGAGAGAAGCCAAACACGCAATTTGACCTAGAGCGGCGCGGCGCAGAGAGCAATGATGACGAGGACTTGAGATGAAAAGGAGAAGCCCTCGACGCGCCGGTCAGCATGAAACACATATTAGCGCCTACAAGACTCCACGAATACTTCACGCATTGCGTCAAACGTAGAGCGGTGAGCAGCGGTCGGCGTGAAACGCATAGCGCCTACAAGATTGTGCGGATACTTCACGCATTGCGCCAAACACAGTGCGGTCGGCGCTGTGGCGGAAATTAAACTTAAACCATGTTCATTCTTCATAATTTTTTCGTTCATTTCTT